AGCATAGTTATTTTTTCATTCCCTGTTTGATAATTACAAAATATGTGTCATATCTGAGTCTGGTTGAAATGCTTCTTTTATCTTTTTAGACTGTGTTTTTTCTTGCTTTCAAGGTGCATTGTTTAACCATGGCTTAAGCTTTCTTACAGATGGAGCCGAGCCAAAATTTGTAAGTCATGCAGCCCAGGCATGTGCAATAGAAGAAGCTTTGACCCCCGAATAACTCATGGGGCCATCATTTATCCCACAGTACTAAGGAGGCTTGGACATGATCAGAGCTTGAAATGTCAAAGCTCTTTCAGAAGTGAGTGGTACATTGTCCAGAAAGTTTCAGTGCTAACACCCACCAATCAAAACCTACCCTACTAGTGCTTCTGCATACCAACCTGCTCCCCTAACCCATAAAAGTTTAACTCAACCCCAGATCAGGGAGACAGATTTGAGCATAGCTTCCTGTCTTCTTGCTGGCTGCTATGCAATAAATCTCTTTCTTCTTACAAAAGCCAGTGTCACAAAGTTTGGCTCTCTGTGCACACCATTGCTTGGTAACACCCTGAACATTGTAGAAATCCGGAGATTGTGTATCAGGTAAAGACAAACAGTGTTTAGCATAAGGTTTTATGTTAGGAGTTGGGCTGTGTGTAATATTTTCTGTAGCTGTAGGTACCAGAGGATTTAAATTCTTCAAGTATCTTTGTTTCCTTTCTCACCTGTTGCCTTGGGCCTTCCCTAAGAGCTCCTCTTAGATAGAGTCTGTGTCTGGTAACTCTGTCAGCTTAATTTACTGTTATTATACTGTAGCTCTGCTGGCATGGTAAGGCATGGGGAGGAGAAGCAGTTTATAATCTTAACATTAAATCCCAGTCTTTCAGTGGATTTGTATCTCCGAGCCGTGACCTCAGGGACCGTTTCTTAGCTTCTCCCTCCCTCCCTTATGTAAGGAAGGACAGAGGGGGCAGAGGCCTGTTGGAGTTATGCAGATGCTCCAGGCTTATTTTGCAATGGTTGCTTTTTCTACTCTCCCCACCAGAGCCATGAGGGGACTTTTCTTGGCTCTTCAGTATGACAATCTGGTGATGTTCCTACAGGTAAAACCTGCAGAAGGATGAAGGATTCCCTAAGGCTGCAACCTTCTGAAGTTTCTCCAGGTCTTGCAGGGCAGGTCACAGAATCCACACTCAGCCCCCAGCAATTGATCAAAAGGACAATTTAAGTGTTCTTGACAGTCAGCAGTGACTCTATAGGTGGGCCTGTCTCTCTAGATTTGGGGGTGGTGGTTTGCCCCGTGACCTCAACTCTCTGACAGATCAAAGAAAAGTCACTGATTTTCAGTTTGTCCAGCTTTTATCTTGTTATATGCACAGGATCAACAACTTCTAAGCTCTTTACATGTTGTAGCTGCAACTGGAATTGGGCTGACTCTTTTTTATATCTCTCATTTCTCTCCTCATCATGTTCACATTTCTCCTTTAATTCTGGCATATGGGCAATACGTAACAGCTGTTTTAACGTCCTTACCTGTAAACTCCATCATATCTCAGTTAGGTCATATGTTCCTGCTTCCTTGCACGTCTGGTGATTTTTGATTGGATGCCATACATTGGATCTTACACTGCTGGGTGCTGGCTTTTGTTGGATTGTTTTAAATAATTTTGGACTTTGTTCTGGCATATTGTGAGTCAGTTTGGGATCAGTTGAATTGTTTGAGGCTTTCCTTTTTTTTTTTTAACAGCTTACTTGAGACATAATTTACATATCCTAGAGTTCACCTATTTAAAGTGTACAGTTCAATTTTAGTATATTGATGGAGCTGTGCAATTATAACTATAATCTAATTTTAGAGAAATTTCATTGCTCCAAAAGAAACCTTGTACCCATTAGCAGTCCCTCCCGCAAACCACCATGTGCCGGCCCATCTCCTACCACAGCCCTAGGCAATGGCTAATCTACTTCCTGTCTGTATAGATTTGTTGAGACTTGATGTTTAGCTTTGTCACAGTGAGTCCAGAGTTAATTTATTCCTAGTACTAATGTAATGTCCATCAAAGGACTCTGGCTGATGGCTCCCACTGCCTGGAGGGAAGGTGACGTATTCCCAGCCCATTGGAGTGAGCAGGACTGAAGCCATGTTGGGACCTAAAACAACCAGGACTTTAGGAAAATTTTAAAAGGTACAGTTTTTTTTTTTTTTCTTAGTATGCATTTCTCTGAGTTCCCTCTTTCCCCATGTTTACTTGGTATTTTGAACCTTGGTTACGGGCAGGATGACATTATTTACATAAGTGTAGAGCTGTTTTTCAGACCCTGAGAAACCAAAGAAGACATCAATAAAGCTGTGCTGATTCCACCCCAAAGCAAATCAAAATCCTGCAGGGCCCTGAGAGAACATCAGCGATGAGAACAGAAGCCTTGGCGAGAACTTGCACCCAGCCCCCTGCACGTAACCTCCGCAGCTCAGCCTCCCCCTCCTGCTTTCCGCTCCCTCAGCCTCCTCCTTAAAACCCCCCTGGTATATCTGAGCTGGGGACATGGGTTAGCCTACTGTCGTCCTTTGGGTTACCGGTCCTGAATAAAGCTGCCTTTCCTTTTTAATAATATTTGACTTTTGAGTTATTTCTGTTTGGCAGCAGGCAGCTGGACCTGGGGTTGTTAACAAGCCCCCTGTGAGCTTTGGGAATTGTCTGGAACTGCTTCTGTGGTGGTTTTTCCCTCCGACAGTTTCCTCTCGTGCATGCACAAATCACCGCTCGCAGATTTAGGGGCCCTTCTCTTACTATCTAGCTCTCTCTCTCTGTCTCTCTCCTTCTTCTGCACAATTCTGCCTCATAAGTTCTAGTTGCCTCAGTCTCCTGGAATTGCTTTCTCTGTCTTCTCAGCTCATGGAGACTGCTGACTTCGGTCTGGGTTTCCCCTCCCTGATCAACAGCCCTGAAACTGCCTCCAGGCACCGATCAGGACTGCCATGGGTCTGCTCCCTTCCTTCACCTGTCACAGTTCTGGGTTGCTGCTGCCCAAAGGCTGAGAAAAGGTGTTTCCTGCAATTTGACCAGCTCTCTAATTTAGGAGTTTAAATTCATCCACTGTTACTCTATCATGGCCAAAACCCTTCCCTAGTATTTTGAGGTAAATCCCGGACATCATATAATTTTATTCATAAATATTTCACTATGCATCTCCAAAAGATAAGGAGTCCTTTATTTCTTTTAGCACAATACAAGCCAATTATTAACTCTGGGTTAAAAAAAAAAAAAAAAAGCTTACACACGAAGGTATTTTAATTCAAATGTACTCTATGGCTCAGCTTTAAATAAGAAGGTATTAGTTATAATGTCGTAAATGCCAAATATTTACTTAAAGTTGTGCTTCTATTGCTTTAGATAACTGAAGAGAGAGGAAGGGCACATGTGTGTATAGAGTTAAACCTTCATCTTCCACAGTAGAAGCCAATGTATAATATGGATAACAATATACAGAAGTTGCAGTATGTTCTTTAGAAGTATAAATGTTAACATTTTAAGAAACAGCTAAATAACCAAAATTGATTGCTTCTAGGAAAAAGAAACTACGAAGAAGAAACAGTAAGCAGTGCTGTTTTCTATCATAAATTCATTCTGTTATTTACCTTTAAACACCGTACATGCTTTTATTGAGAAACTCAAAGGCCTTGATGGTTATTATAAGAGAATTCTGGGCTAATTGGTGGTTCTATCACTTCCCGAGCAGTTGACCCAGGCACATAACTAAATTTTGATTGGCGGTGGCCAGTACAGGATCCAAATATATAACCTTGGTGTTAAAAGGCTGTGCTCTAAGCAACTGAGCTAATCAGCCAGCACACCAGGCACCTCATCTAACCTCTTACGGCTT